TATATATATATATATATATATATCATACTATATATATCACTATATATATATATATATAGTGATAAATAAACTTACAATGACATCCTTATAATATCATAATGACTTTTGTGTTCTACCTGCAGGGATACGGCATTTTTCACGTAACCCTCCATTACTGATATACTCATTTTCTTTTCGCTCAGGGAATTGAAACTTTCATTGCTGTACATCAATACTTAATCGCAACGCGCTGTTGTAAAAGTCCCCGCGGTCTTAAATGGATTCATCGTACCTTAATAACCAAGTATCGACACGGGCATTCTCTATTTTACGACGCGCGACGGTTCGAATGGCACGGAGCGCCGCGGTCGATATGCCGCGTGAAGTTGGCTGCCGGCGCATGCGCGCGTCGCCGCGACTCGGACCTCGGGCAACTTCGCGACGGTCCACAGTGGCAGCCCGGAAGCGCGAGGTGTTGGTTTCACTTTTTTTTGTCGCCCAATTTTCTCGTGTCAATTCCGTGGAGAGTCACGTATCTAAATGTAAACGATACGTAAGGCGCACTTGAGGGGATTCATTCGCAACGTCGTACATCGAGGTGAGTGTCGACACTCTGGAGGTGTAAAAAATGATCTCGTACATTGAAAAATTGATGCACAGCCGAACACGTTAAATTCACTTGTATTTATTTATTACCGTCTCGTTTCCTACAACATTTCTCCTCGACAGACGGCAAAGCATCACTTCCGCGATTCTCGCGAATCTCGTCTCGAAACTCTCACTTTGACGATCATAACCTAAACGCTCGAGTGATGTCAGATGCGTTCGACAGTGCACGGTGTGATTAGGATAATAACGATTGTACCTTCAATAATTTGACACGTGTATCAAACGTAATGTGTAAATTTATGTATTTTTTTAAAAGAGAATTTATGTATTTTTTTAAAGAGAACAAGCATAGATAGTAAAGTTAACCTCTCTTCCCTTTCTTTGCTTCTTGTAGCCCGGACAAGATGTCGACGTCAGCAATATACATTCTGGACGTGAAGGGCAAGGTGTTGATCTCGCGGAACTACCGCGGCGACATCGAGACCGGTGTCATAGAGAAATTTATGCCGCTGGTGATGGAGCGCGAGGAGGAGGGCAATCTTACGCCTATCATTCAGACCCCGGAGTGTACATACGCTTACATAAAGTATAACAATCTGTACATCGTGTCGACTACCAAGAAAAATGCGAACATATCCCTAGTATTTGTATTCCTGCACAAAGTGGTGCACGTCATGCAGGAGTACTTCAAAGAATTGGAGGAGGAGAGTATAAGGGACAACTTTGTCGTTATTTATGAGCTCCTGGACGAGTTACTGGACTTTGGCTATCCTCAAACTACCGACAGCAAGATCCTGCAGGAATATATAACTCAGGAGGGCCACAAGCTCGAGATTCAACCCAGGATCCCCATGGCGGTGACCAACGCTGTCTCGTGGCGGTCGGAGGGCATCAAGTATCGCAAGAACGAGGTCTTTCTTGACGTGATAGAATCGGTAAATCTTCTAGCGAATGCCAACGGAAACGTCTTGAGCTCGGAGATCGTGGGTGCCATAAAGATGAGGGTCTACCTGTCGGGGATGCCGGAATTGAGACTGGGCCTCAACGACAAGGTCCTGTTCGAGTCGACGGGTCGCGGTAAATCCAAATCTGTCGAGCTGGAGGACGTCAAGTTTCATCAGTGCGTTAGGCTTTCCCGATTCGAAAACGACCGGACGATCTCGTTCATCCCGCCAGACGGCGAGTTCGAGCTCATGTCGTACAGATTAAATACGCATGTGAAACCACTGATATGGATCGAGTCTGTGATCGAGCGGCACGCTCACAGTCGAGTGGAGTACATGATAAAAGCGAGGTCGCAGTTCAAGCGCCGGTCCACGGCGAACAACGTGGAGATCGTGATCCCGGTGCCGAACGACGCCGACTCGCCCAAGTTCAAGACCACGATCGGCAGCGTCAAGTACTCGCCGGAGCAGAGCGCCATTACTTGGATCATCAAGTCTTTCCCCGGCGGCAAGGAGTACCTGATGAGGGCGCACTTCGGGTTACCGTCGGTGGTCGGCGAAGACGCCGAGGGCAAGCCGCCCATACAGGTGAAGTTCGAGATACCGTACTTCACCACGTCCGGTATTCAGGTGCGTTACCTGAAGATCATCGAGAAGAGCGGCTACCAGGCTCTGCCGTGGGTGCGTTACATCACGCAGAACGGGGATTATCAGCTGCGAACGAATTAGCCACTCAACTTGGGGGCCGATGAGTACCTCAGGATTTCCGGCGTCTACGTCATGCCCGAGTACGACGACTAGAAGCGCGTAGCAGGCTCTCGAGGGGATCGGCAATCGTTTATCCATTTTGCATTTGAATACGAAGTGATGGTCAGTGAAAAAAAAAAAAACGTGTGTGAAACGCGATGTAAAAATAGAGCGGACTTTCGAACGCTGATTTTTGGGAAAGAATTCACATTCTGCGCACGATCGCGGTGTTTTAACAATATTCTTCTTAAAAAACGGGCTAAAACGTATTGAAAGATTCTTCAAGAACATTTTACATTTGAGATACAAGTATCTTAGGAGTACTTAATTCAAATGCGATTCCATTTGGTGTCGCGATCTTCATATGTGTTTTTCATTTTATTTTTGAAACGATTTGAATTAGATGACGATAGTGATGGCGATCCGATAACACGAAATCTTGCGATAGCATCTTGTAAATATGTATCGGCAATTTATTTTATAATATTTTTCTTCGACAAGATGAATTTACGAACAGGCAGAAGATATTGGTATTGATTTAGTTTCTTTGATTTAAATTAAATAGTATTATACTGATAAAGATTAATTATATATCAACGTCAACATGTTTAACAATCGCAATATTACTGCTGTATGTGGTTGCGACGTTAATGTAAGATAGTATGGAGATATATTAAATTTTTAAAAGAAATAACGCGCAGAGAGAGAAGTTCGACGAACGTTCCTATCATTTCCATCTCTATACAGCACGCCGCTCCCTGTTCCCTTAAGAATTTTCCCAACCGACGGAAAATCGAAACCGTATCCGGGACAACCATAAGCGCCTCGCGTCGATGCGAAAAAGGAAAGAAAAAAAAAGAAAAACGACAAATATCTCTCGCGAAAGAACTCGTGTCGCCGTTCGCGCGGAGCGCCCGGGGTGGGGGTTGGGGGGGGGGACACGAAAACGCGATTAGAGCGGAATGGAAACGGCGGAAGCCCGAAATCTTTTTATTTCGGTCCTCTCCCCCTTTCTCTGTCGCGCGTGGCGCCGCCGCCACCGTAGCGCCCGGAACGCGGCTCGCGGTATGCAAATTTTTTGGCATGAGCGCACGAGCGTGTAATAATTTTATGGAAATCACTAGTCCCGCCAAGTACTCGTACAGAGTTTCGCGCGCGGGCGACGCGACGCGAATCGAAAAACGTGGTAGGAGAAAAAAAATCCTTTCTCTCTCTCTCTCTCTCTTTTTTCCTCTTCGTATCGCGGTACGGTGACGCTTTCGTGTTCAGGTACGTCGGTATCGAGAAAAGAACGACGGTCCGCGTGCTTATCTCGTATTCATCAGTGGTGCAGCGAATTTTTTTTCTGCAGCTCCTTTCTGCCTCTTTCTTTCATTCCGGCCCGGCCCCGTCGTTACGGTCTACTGGAATGCAACGGTCGTAGATACGATAATGTTCGGTTAATGTATAGGTAGGTGGTAATCAGCCTGGAAATGGATAAAGGGACTTGTTACGAGTGAATTAGCCGGTCCGCGAAATGCGTGCAACGTGTTTGAAATGTACGGTGCGATGTGGGTTTCGAATATGGTTATAATGTGAGAAATTGTTAAAGGGTACGATCGCGCGTATAGCGAGAAGAATACAGAACGTCAAGTAATTTCTTTCGAGTATAATAGTCTTTCTTTCTTTTTCCTGCCGCAACCTAAATGCGTAACGATATCGTTTTTTCACACCGATCGGTTATACCCGTGTCATTTTTCCATGTGACTACACAATTTTCTGATATTTCTATTACGTTTACTACCGCGTTACATTTCCCCCGGGATAAGTATCTTGTCGCGAGGAAAAATCGATCGAAAGGCGGTGCGCCGCGCGGATGATACGCTCTATTTCTGAGCAGGAGAGAGAGAGAGAGAGAGGAGAGAGAGAGAGAGAGAGAGAGAGAGACGCAAGCGGCCAACGATAACAAGCACTCGGCGATAGTAGCCCCGGCCTCGGCGTAAATATTAGCAGTTGGGGTTGTCGGGTATCGTAATTAACTCGTTCGATCCGTTCAATTAAATACGAGGGTGAAACGAGAGAGTTTTTAGCGCCGCGCTGCGCCCTTAAGGATTCTGCGAAAGGAAGGGAAGAGGAAGAAGCTCTCGGGGGAAAAAAAACCACTCCCGACACGAATACATACAAGCAAAGTGTACAATGGGATTCGCGTCGAGCAATTCTGAAGATATCATCCCTCTCTTTCTCTTTCTCCCCCCCCCCCCACACCTCTTTCTTTCGCTGTGTTGTAAAGCCGCTAATAGAAAAAGCAAATTTACCGGTCCGGCCGGTGGCGCCGGAGGAAATCCGATCGCGAGATGCCCGGAGTAATGGGATGCGCGCGAAGAAGAGCTCCCTGCGAACTTCCCCCTGTCTCCGCCGCGGCTGCAACGTCCGTCTCCACGTCGGCCATGCGGCCGTGTAGAAAATCCTGGTAGGAACGATTTAAAGTTGTACCCGGGGCGGTGGTCTCGCGAGCTCTCGTCTCCTCTTCTCTTAATTTTTCTTCCTCTCTCTCCGCATCTTCCCAACGCTTGCCGCGGGCATATTAAAACTTATCCGGCAAGCACGCATACATATATACGCGCAGATATGTAAACGTGTACACACGTGCATCCTTGGGAAAGACGACGGAGGAAAGTTTCGAGAGGACGACTCGCGTTAACGAGTTACTCGAAAAACACGCGTGGATCGATATCGATTGTGCCCGCGGAATGGCGGCGGCGGCAGCGGCGGCGGGGGGCGCCCGGCAAGAACCGAGTAATTTAGTCCGCTTAAACGGGTGAGTACGTACCTCCACCACCGCGTTCCCTCCGCGAAAATTCGCGAACTTTGGCGACTGCGAACCCGGGACCGGAATTTAGCACTAAATGCGAGTGCCCGTTTCGAAACTCCCGAGTACACGTCGGTCAAGTGTTCGCCAAATTTAATGCTAAACGCGCCCTGCGGACGGTTCTTACGGTATATTCGCTAATGAAGATCGAAATATCAGCGAATAAAGTCAACGGGGATCGTGCATTCATCGTCGCGATATGCACGTGCACGCGCCGCGCGTGATGTATTCGGATATACAATATGTATATATACATATATATATAAGTATATATAATCGGAGGAAATCGTGTACCGTATTTCCATGTTTTTTGCTGAAAAGTAGGAAAAGCCCCGGCGTTGGCTTTTTATCCGCGCGTTGTAATTTATATCATGTATTACCGGTACGCTCCCGCCCGTATTAAATATACGCGCGTATTAAACACAGCATATTCCGCCCCGGTGAGAGAGGAAATGATATTAAAATAATTTCGTTGCGGATATATTCCCCGGCTAATTACGCGCGGGACGCTTCTATCCTATCTACATAATGACATGCACAAAATGGAAATATCGAGCTGCTATGAAATCAATTATTGTTGATAATATTAATCACCAATTGTGCTCAACGTCACTATCTCCACCTCCTCCTCCTGTCTTTGATATAATTATTCGAGCGCGTGCGCGCGCGCGCGCGGTGTGTTACACAATGTACAGCCGCCCGGTAGATTCCTTGAGGGGAATGTTATAATGAGAAACTCCTACGTTTAAGTAAATAGCTCCGTCGCGACGAAATATTACATAGTTGTCGCATCAGCATTCGGGGGCTACTTTAAATAGTTATCATACTGCGCCGTTACTTGTAATCTCGTATCTCGGCCGCCGCCGCCGCCGCCGCCGCCGCCGCCGCGTTGTTAAATCGCCCCGTAATCTTCCGACGTCATCGACGGGTGACTTTGTTGAAAATATGAGGATTTATCTCTCTCGCCGCGCGCCAAAACGAAAACCATACACGTTTCGACGATAGTGAATAAAACATGTCCCCTATTTCGCATACGTGTGCTCGCATATTCATGGTAAACATGAAACATATTAGTCGGTAACAATAATTTTTTTTACTATTTGCATACACACACGCGTTCGCGGAAATACGCGCGTGCGTTCGTTCGTTTGGCGTTAAAATACAGATTGTGAGACACGCGATTTTCCCAAATTCGGCGCGATCGTCGAATCGAATTATTCGAGACGGTGAATTCCGATGTCCCGTTTACAATCGTCCTGATGAAACCCTCTCCCTCTTCTCCCTCTCCCCCCTCTCCCCCGCCCTACATCAAATAGCCACGTTTGTTGCTAATTGCGCGCTTTGAACATACAAGCGTACTCTTGCATTTCCGCATTCATTTACATTCGCGCGTCATTAATTTCGGGGGAGGGGGGGGGGAGGACTCTCCCCATGTCGAAAATCACCGTGCAGTGACAAACCGTCGGCCGCCATTGCTTCCACGCGTGCGATGTCGATCAATTACAATATTTCATAGGATTCTCCTAGGTGATGAATTAAATTGACAAACGCGCCGGGCGGATTTTTTTGCGGCGATCTATCAGCGAACCGCGTTAACTTCGTCAATCTTGCTCGCGCGCGACGCCGCACGCGACTTTCTATTCCACACACTGCAGTAGTAAGAGTCAGCCATAAAAAGGACATCCCGCGCGCGCACTTGCGTATCGCCGCCCCGGATGGGACACCACGACGTTTCTCTGTGCGCTCGAAAACGAGGCACTTTGTCGCGAATGCAACTTCCCGCGGTGTAATACTAACCGCCGGTGTTTACCACAATGCCGTTATATTATATAAGTCCCGGGAAAGCCGCGTGAACTTCCGCGTGGAGACGTGAGCGCGCGGTGCACGGTGTGTTTTTAGGGGGGAGTTTGGCATTGGCAAACTCAATTCGAGTTTATGTTCCTCGTGTGCAAAGTGCTCGCGCAGCGAAGTTACGATGCACGAAAATACGCCGTTATGAGTCCTAAAGCTATCCTTCCCGGGCTAGAATATACATACGCTCGTCGCGCGACACGCTGTTTTTCCGCGAGGGGCGTTAAGACACGTTTTACGCGCCGGAACGCGTCTCGAAACTTGCGTACCGCAGCTACCGGGAGCGTCGATTTACTTATTTACGAAATTAGTGCCGTGTCTTATCATCCTGAGTGCTCGCTTGTCAAACGAGATATTGAATTGGTCGAAATGTTTCTCCCATGCTCGCTGGAGAATAAATTATCAGCTCTGGTATCAATCAAGATCTTATGCTTCCGCATGCGATATATATCTCTAACGAAATCAGGAGAAGATTTATGATGTATGATACTCTCTAAATCTGAATCAGTGGAAAAGTCACCGATTGAGTCAGTAACGCCGCTTCCTTGCATCGCTATAATGAATAAGTGAAACAAAGCCGAATCCGATTGCAATTAGCGAGAATAGCGAAGTCCACTGATTTGTCAACGATTATAGCGATTATTCACTTATTTATTAATGATTTCCGAGAGACAATGAAGTTGAATTTCACTGATTATACCAGTGACATATACTTGGGACTGATGCATTCAGTGAATAACCATTGATAATCAGTGACTATCCACTGATTCGGATTTACAGAGAGTAAGAATAAATTGAGTTTAGAAGAGAGTATAGAATAAAGTGTTATATAAAAAGATTTCGAATAACAGCAGTACGAAGATCTTGAGGCTGCGCATACATAATTTTCGTCGCTTGAAAATCCAAGCTGTGATCGTGGCGTAAAAGCTGGAGTGCCGTGTGCCCTTATATAGTTTGCAGTTCGTCTATTTCGTCGATGAGCGAGCAAACAAACT